TCATTCATTCCACTCTCACTGTCTTTCTCACCCTCTCATTCCACTCTCAATGTGTTTCTTTCTCTCTGATTCTACCCTCCCTGCATTTCTCGCTCGCTTTATATTTTACTTTTTCCTATCACTCTCTTTTATTGCCACTCACTCTTTCATTGTGTCATCTCCGCTCTCAGTCTGTCTCTTTTTTGTTCTAATTTTGTTCCCGTATTATGTTTCTTTCTCTCTTACATCAAATCAACTCTTACATTGTCAGTCTTATTGGCAGACAAAGAGATGAGCAAACAAACTCCGCGTGTGTAGAGACAGATAAAGATATTTGGTGTTATTTGTTTATCTATTGTTAACCGCCGTACCATATATAAAGATTCGCTTCACATCTTCGTCCCCTTTGCATCCCAGACAATTCCCCACACAAGTAGGTATCTGGGAATTCGAACATAATCCCTTCCGAGACGGCGTTCGAACTCCAGGTCATTCGTGTTCCAATGCAATTTTTCTTATTAAAAATAATGGAAACTAAATTAATCTGTTCCAGAATTGAGCTCACATTGAAAACCTTTTCCTAAATACAGTACACAATAAACATAGTAACAAATGTTGATCACATTTAAACACAAGCATACAATTTTTTTTTTTTAAAAGATTAAACATTTTGTATTTACTTTCTGCCTTTACAAAAATGGAACACAATAGATAGAAGTGGGGGGCGGGGGGGGGGGGGGGGGGGTTTAGGGAGAGTATTGTTTGACTGATAGCATCAGGAGTTTTTTTCTGGTATTTCGTATCGTAGTCTCCCCGTGTGGGGTCCGGGGCCCCATTGTGGGGGGAAAACAAGAATAGAGCCACTGCCTACCAAAAAGCATGTCGTAAGAGTCGACTAATTGGTAGCTTCCTTTGAAGTCGGAGTGCATCTGCCTGAGAGGCCAGGAACCAACAGTCTGCATTCAAGTGAATCAGATCTGTAAAACTGATGCACACGCAACACCCAGGTTCTGGAGCAGGACTGCAGTCCAGGTGTGGGCGAACAACCAGAACTTTCCGCCAGAGTGTACAGCTGGTGTACGCGAAGAAGAAGAAGAAGTATCGTAGTCGTTTACCCCCTGTAGAGGCTTTTGGGGGTCTCCTGATTTTGCTGACACCTAGCGTTCCAAACTTCGTTTTGTTGTTGACCTTGTTTTTTTCCTCTGAAGTATTTGATAATGTTTTCATTGAGTAAGTTAACTTACCAACAACAACTACTACTACTGCTAATACTACTACTACTGCTGCTGCTGCTGCTGCTACTCCTCTTCCTCCTACTTCTACTACTACTACTACTACTACTACTACTACTACTACTACTACTACTACTACTACTACTACTACTACTACTACTACTACTACTACTACTACTACTACTACTACTATTACAACCACCACCACTACTACTACTATTACAACCACAACCACTACTACTACTACTACTACTTCTACACTACTACTACTAACTACTACTACAGCTACTACTATTCCTGCTGCTACTACTACTACTACGCTACTGCTAATCACTTAAACAGTGCTTAGGACCCTTGAGAACTCCCTGCCTTCCCCGCCCCCTAAAAGGTGTACCTCCCACCCCCACACACACACACGCGCGCGCGCGCGCACACACACACACACCCCCTACCAGAGGCCCGTTATTGTTTTCTTTGTGTTGCCGCTGCTAGTATATTGATTATTCTACGCAGGGGAAACATTTTTGAACTTCTGTTCTATTGTGGAATCAAGAAAATGAAGATGATGTAGGGTCAAGACACTAAAGATGCATTGGCTATGAAAGCACATAGGGCTAGAGAATTGGCTTAAGAAAGAAGGACTTTCAGGCGTGCCGTGATGCTCTGTAAAAAAAAAACCGTTGATTGTTGATAATAATGATTAGCAGCTTATGCTTTGTGTTGTTTGCTATCCTGGGTGTAACAGCAAGCAGCACACGGTGAAGTGACCAAGGATACAGTTCTCGCTTCCACACACAACTCTCAGGAAAATCAGCGACTTAATGTCCACCAGACAAGTACGTTTGTTGCCACGACACAGAGATTAGACACAATCCCTCACACAGACAACAATTCAAGCGAAGTGGTGTAGACATATGTCCTGGCTAAACCTTTCCCCTCCTTTCGCTCACTTCTCAAGTCTAGCGTCGCTCTCCCGGACAGCTGGCACTCGCCGCCACTACACACGAGCTGACCGCTACAGTTCGTAGGTCTACAGCGTCCCGCAACTCCGGGCTCGCTGTACAGATGAACAGAAAATCTTATCTATCAACTGGACGTCTGCTCTACACTGACACATTGGCTGACTGGAAACGGACCCCTAACACTCGTTCTCAAGCATGTGCACACAGCTCATCAGCCTCGTCGAAGGACTTCGATGACCGGCAGGACTCCTGGTTCTGAGTCCCCTTCAGCACACAGCTATCGCTGGCATCCCCCGCTGTCTTGTTTCACTAGTGAGCCTACACCTGCCTGCGTCGTCATCCAAAACAGATACTCTTGGGTGTCAACTCCTCGTGGCCTGACTCCGCCAACTGGACTCTTCCTTCGACTGCACCGCGACCGAGACTCTTACCTCTCAGACCTCACTGTCTGACTCTTACTGCGGACTCTGTCTCCCCTCTGCGGTCCACTTAACCCCAGTATAAACCCTTGCCTACCCCTTGTGGGTGGCTCGTGCTCCACGAGAAGCACTATAGCACGCATCCCATCCTTCTTCCATGCATCAGCGGCTGTCTGGTACAAGTCAGGATAGTTCGCCCCTCGCGGCTACTACCTCGGGCCTCTCGGGTTCATCCCGTATCAACTCTCAACCGACTGATATTTCCGGGCTTGAGTCAACACTGGGCAACAAACTGACACAGGTAATTGAACATTCTGATGGACTCCCGCAAACACGATTCATACTACATTGTCCCTCTCCACAATGTTACAACCCACATGAATCAGCACTCAGCTTTTTATTAGGGTCAGAAGATGATAGTGCATAGTCAAAATGTAACTGGTGACCCTTGTATTTCAATCTTTCACAGGACATCGTTGTCAGTGAGGTAGACGTTGGTCAGCCATGTTTGGACTGTAAGGATCGCTGTCCTGGCTTCTCCTTTCACGACTGGAGGTAAGTCCTTAATTGGTTCAGCTTATGTACCGTAATAGCATTTCCACATAGTGTTCACTATGTCACTAGTCTGTGTGTGGAGTTATTTTGTTTCATTTTTTGAATGTGCCTATTCTTTTGTCACCGCTTCCTTGTCATCACATTTGTCTCCACCTACGTATAACGCTGCTGCTACTACTGCTGCAGCCATGGGATGACATGGTCAGCTCCCGAGGCTCCAGCTGACGGGCCGTGCTGCTGACGTCACCGTATCAGGCTAACGATGCGTTAACGCAGTGGTTCTCAAACAAGAAATAAATTGTTTTCGACAGTGGCGAAAGAAGACAATTTAAATTTGAACTTTTAAGAATCAACATGTTTTCTTTAATAATTTCACAGATTTTTAGTCTAATTTTCTGGATTTTTTTTTTTTCGCGGCATCCCTGGCATACGCTCACGGCTGCGTTAACTCATCGTTAGCCCGACCCGGTGACATCAGCATCACGGCCCGTCAGCTGAAGCCGGTCGATGTCAGCCATTTTTGGACTATAAAGATCGCTGTCCTGGCTTCTTCTTTCATGACCGGACGAAAGTTTGCTCATGTCCTTCATTGGTTCAGCTTGTTGACCTTAACAGCATTTCCAGATAGTTTTCACACTCTTGTGCGGCTAGTTTGTGTGTGGGATTATTTTGTTTTATTATTTGTATGTGCGTATTCGCTAGTCGCCGCTTCCTTCTCATCCGATTCGTTAACCGCATATAACGCTGCTACTGCTACTACTACCACTACTACTACTACTACTACTACCACCACCACCACCACCACCACCACCACCACCACCACCACCACCACCACCACCACCACCACCACCACCACCACCACCACCACCACCACCACCACCACCACCACCACCACCACCACCACCACCACCACCACCACCACCACCACCACTACTACTACTACCACCACCACCACTACTTCTACTGCTGCTGTTGCTTCGGATCCGGATTTGTGTATTTTAATGGCAAGAGTTTATTCTGCATGTGATTCATTATATGTTGATGTAACCCTTTACTAATGAACCTGGTGAGACAGTTATATTTTGTTTCGTGTTTTGAGTGTGTGTGTGTTTGTGTGTGTCTGTGTGTGTGTGTGTGCGCGCGAATTCGTTTGTCACCACGATCTCCTCCTCCTCTTCCTCCTCCTCCTCTTCCTCTGTTTCATGTTGCCTGTAGCATAACCACATCCGTAGACAACTGTAAAAAAAAAAAAATCATCATTGTTTATGAGAAGGAAAGTGTTTGAAGTATCATGGGAGAAGAGACAACATACAAACGAACTTTATTTTCAGAGGGTTACAAATTGGACATATATGCCCATCTTTCATACACCAGCTGTATTTTTATCAATAAAGCGTGCTATGTTCATATAATAATATGCACAGTATGAATATCAAGGGGTGAAAACATAAAAGCATGGATGGTAAATGGCTGCACACACGCCCATTCACACATTCACTCACTTACATACATGCATGCCAGCAAACTTACACACCTACCTACGTACATACCTACATAGTATACACACACACACAGAGAGAGAGAGACATACATACCCAGACGTGTGTATACGTAACAGTTGACAGACTTACATACGTCTATAAAGAATCACGAATGCCTAACTTTATGTGGCAAGACAGAGCCTCGTGATGTAATTTCTTGATCTGAAAAAACAACAACCCCAGTTTTAAAAAAAAAAGGGGGGGGGGGGGGTTGTTATCATCATCATCATCATCATTTTTTAAAATTATGTTGCAGGTTGTGTTTAAAATGTGTGCTAACAGTCACATTGGATGTGTTATCTCTTACGACAGAAACACCTGTGCCAGGTGCAAGTGTCCCCGAGAGAGACACGATGTCTACAACGAGAACTTTGTCAACGTCTGCGACAGGCTGGGCTGGAAGCGCGAAGACGATCCCGCCAAATCCGTCTCCAAGGAACAGACGCTCAGTCAGGGTTACGCGTGGTTGCCTAGCAATTTGTCCGGCAAAAAGGTTAATCTGTGTCTGTAATTGTCTAAACAATATTTCTTCTCCTTCTCCTCCATCTTCTTCTTCTTCTCCTCCTCCTCTTTATCCCAGTGGATAAGGACCAACTCACGACAGGTGGTCCTGTCCTTTGCTATTGCATGCAGCTCATCTCGTGTCCTTCCCATCTTATAACTTCATGATCTAGCTTCTCTGTTTTCTCAACACGTCTTTTCTTTAACTCTGGATTCACTGCAATGTGTTAAACAATATTACAGTTCGTGCTTTGCTACCGACTAGCTCCATCTTTGTACGGTGTTTCCATGACGAAAGGACAAGCCGTTTGCTTTTCATATTCTGAAGATCGTGGCTTCGTTCCACGTACTTTGCCGTTCGGTTTCCTTGTACGATGTTTGTTTTAAAGAAATCGTCACTGGAGCTACATAGTTCGGTCTTTGTGCAGCACTTTCGGCAGGCGGCTAACCGTGTCTGCATACATATGTATGAACGTTCTTTACCACGGCTGATACATACATTTGATGGACAGAATTACATACGACAAAACCGTATGGAGGCATTGGGATTATTTTTACAGTCCTCTCTACTGATTGTATCAAAGGCCTTTGTGAGGTCTATGAAGGTGGAAAAAAAGGTCACAGTTGAGTTCTTGACACTTTTCCTGGAGCTGGCGAGCAGCAAAAATCATGGCAATGGTCTCTCGTTCTTTTCGGAAACCCCACTGGTTCTCAGGCAGGTGGTCTTTTTCAAGATGCACTGTAAGACGGTTTAGGAGAATTCTAGCGAGAATTTTACCAGCTATAATAGATAGACGAGATTCCACGGTGATTGTCACATACCTAGCGGTTTCCTTTATGTTCGTACATGTAGCGGTGCAACATGACCATGAATGAATGAATTAATACTTTAAAGCCCACCTGTAGTAATTTTTATAGGACTGCTTTTTCCTCTGACACCGTAACGATCAGCTCCCCTGCACGATGCAGTGCACCAACCTGACTGTTACGCACAGAACAGTATAGAGGCATTGACTGCAAGCTCTACGTGGCATGCAACAGTACAATATGAGAGTGGATGGCTGAATGAATAAACACTTTACAGCCCACCTGTAGTCACTTATATGGGGCTGCTTTTTCCTCTGACACCCTAACGAACAGCTTCCTGCACGATGCAGTGCACCAGCCTCCCTCATTACTACAGCTGGCTCTAACTTTTATTGACAAACATTTTAATATCAGCGCTGATGTGGTATATGGCATCAACCGGATATACTTGACAAAATAGAGCCTCACCTTGTGTCTAAACCGGGGTAAACCTGACATAATAGGGAGAAATTTGTGTCTAAACTGGGCTAAACCTGACATAATGGGGAGAACTTTGTGTGTGAATAGCATCTCTATTTAGTGCGTTTTTTGTTTAAATTTTGGTAAAATAAAGTTTGACAAAGAAAGCAACTGAAATATATCCGTATTTTCAGGGGAAATAATGCAGGTACATAATCAGTGTCTAAGCTAATTATGCGATGACAAAACTGTGGATACATGCACTGTTGACACTAAACACGGAAATTCTTGTTAATAGAAAGATTACATACTATGCCAAATTTTTTTTTTTTTTTTTGGCAGTCTTTGCAGTACTCGACCCTTTCACCCTGTAAAAGTCCTTTTTGTTTTTTTAATTCGTTTTTTTTAAAATGTGCATCGTTATAAATGTCTGAAAATTTACTGTAAGAAACTAGAGCAAGAGATCAAGAAGCAGAACTATGGTGGTTTTTTTTTTTAAATATAAAAATCAAGGGGAGTTGAAACATGGGCACTGAGCAGACAGGAAAATCTGCTAGACAGTTCATTATTGTTGTTCCCAAGTCACTAAAGACATGGATGTTTCTTATTTGGAGTCATTATTTTGCACAAAGGGGAAAGGGGGTGGCGTGGTAAATATAATCATACCCACCATGTATACACACAATGCAACTTGCGGCCAATACCAAAGCTGTCATATATTGGGCACTTTCTATAGACATCAAACCCATAAAAGCTGGAAAACGGCTTTCTTGGGATGAGACGAGTTTAGGTAAACTAAGAGTGCATGGGTAATACTATATTTTTTTTTAATAACCTTACTTTGGTATGGCTTGTTGCCTTTTTTGTGTGTACCTTTTTAAATAGGTGTTTAAAACTAATTACTGCACCACTGGCCCACCCATCTAGTGCTACTGTTCCAATCTCTAACTGGGCTGCACAAAAATCATGGGGGTGGCCTCAATGGGATTTGCCCCTGTTTGATTCTCACTCTTGGAATATAAAGAAATTAACAGTAAAAGAGTGTAAGTAAGGGAATTTACAATAGAGGAATATGTGGTAAACGAATGAATAGTATAGCAATGTAGGGGAATGTACAGTACAAGAATGGCCAGTAAAGGAAATTATGTAAAGGAATCTACAGTAATGGAATGTGATGAAAGGGAGAGTGTACAGTAAAGGTATGCACAGTAAAGAAATGTACAGTAAAGAAAAATGCAGTAAATAATTGACATTAAATGAGTGTACAGTAAGACATATGTGGTAAGGGAATGTAAGTAAAGGAATGTGCAGTAAAGGAATGTACAGTAAAGAAATGCACAGTAAGGGAATTACAGTAAAAGAATGGACAATAATGAAATTTACAGTATAGGAAAGTGTAGTATAGGAATTCACAGTAATGTGCTCTTAAGGAATGTATAGTAGGGGAATGTACAGTAATATCATCATGGTCAGTAAGGGAATGTACAGTAAAGGAATTTACAGTAAGTGAATGTACATTAACAGAATTTATAGTAAGGAAATGTAAGGGAATGTTTGAAACTCAAACCCAAACACTTGCTAATAGAAAGATGGAGTCTGAAATAGAACTGACAAACTTCACATTGCGAGGCAGATTATATAAACTCTGACACATAGACAAGAATCTGCTCTTATTAATGTCCTATATTTCTATATTTGTTTTCATAAATCTGCACACTTTTCTCAACATGTTCTCCTTTCCTCCCCACTTTTCCAAATAAAGAACCACTGCATTTTTATGAGGAAATATGCCAAAAAGGAATTACAGTTAGGGAATGTGTTATAAAGGAATTTACAGTGAGGGGATGTGTTATAAAGCAATTTACAGTGAGGGAATGTACAGTAAGGGAATGTGTTATAAAGGAATTTACAGTGAGGGAATGTGTTATAAAGCAATTTACAGTGAGGGAATGTACAGTAAGGGAATGTGTTATAAAGGAATTACAGTAAGGAAATGTGTTATAAAGAAATGTACAGTAAGGAATTGTGCTATAAAGGAATGTACAATAAGGAATTGTGCTATAAAGGAATGTACAATAAGGAATTGTGCTATAAAGAAATGTGCTATAAAGGAATGTACAGTAAGGTAATGTGTTATGAAGGAATTTACAATGAGAAAATATACAGTAATGGAATGAGCTAGATCTGTAGAATGGATGTGTTCTGGAACAAGATTAAAGTCCAGAAGTGGATAAAGAGCCAGAACTTTCCACCAGAGTTTGCAGCTGGTGAACGCAAAAAAGAAATTGCTCTCCTGGTTTTTTCTTACATATGGTTTATTTATATGGACAAGTTAAAAACAAATTGTCTTCTTGGTCTGCTTCGTGGTTTATGACCATTCATCTCCCTTGTGTATACAATTTGTACGTCTCTCAATATTCTGCCAGCCATTTCAGTCTATTAGCTCAAAGGGGGCTGCATGGTCTCCACGCATGGTGTTCGCCTCGAGGGCAGTTGGAAATCGAAAAGAGTAGCCTAACGGCACTGCCCGGGCAACATTTGGAGTTAAAAATCTACCCAAAGTATTTCAGGATCCTCACCGTTGCTACAGAGCCTGTGTACTGTGCTGAGCTTCTTCGAGCTTAGACTTGAATTAGAAGAAAAACAGAGCGCTCATGGGTTACTACCCATGTGCCATGATGTTGGTCCGTTGTTCAAACTTTAAGCTTCGACTTTTAAGTCTATTAGCTCAGAATGGCTGGGGCATATTGAGAGAATGCTATGAACTGGTTAATCCAAAATGTAACAAATGCAACAGTTTCTAACTTGCCCATCTCATCCCTGATACCAGATTCAAGAATACATGGACCAACTACCCAACCACAAAGTGCCTCGGCTAAACTCTCCAGGAGAGAAGTATCGCGATGTCCAGCTCATCAAGCAGTTGCCCAGACAGGATCTGTCGGATCTTTACTGCAAACATCTGGACGGGGAGATGGAGCGGAAGGAGTTTATGATTTTCCGGGAGCTCAGGGACCAGGTGGCCATGGGTATCGGTGTGGTCAAGGAATGTCCAGTGGATGCGGTGAGTCAGGATCGCCAAATAACATAAGTCAGTTGTAATCCAATTAAAAGTTTAGAGTTATAATGTATGTGCTAGCTTGTGAGTCATTAATCATAATTAAATTCTTCTCCTCCTCATGTGGGTTCGGGGATTTTGTGTCATTAATAATTAAATTGTCTTCCTTGAGTGGGTTCTGGGGTTTTGTGAGTCATTAATCATAGATTCTTCTCCTCCTCATGTGGGTTCTGGGGTTTTGTGAGTCATTAATCATAGATTCTTCTCCTCCTCATGTGGGTTCTGGTGTTTTGTGAGTCAGTAATCATAGATTCTTCTCCTCCTCATGTGGGTTCTGGTGTTTTGTGAGTCAGTAATCATAGATTCTTCTCCTCCTCATGTGGGTTCTGGTGTTTTGTGAGTCAGTAATCATAGATTCTTCTCCTCCTCATGTGGGTTCTGGTGTTTTGTGAGTCAGTAATCATAGATTCTTCTCCTCCTCATGTGGGTTCTGGGATTTTGTGAGTCATTAATCATTATTAAATTATTCTCCTCATGTGGGTTCTGGGGTTTTGTGAGTCATTAATCATTATTAAATTATTCTCCTCATGTGGGTTCTGGGGTTTTGTGAGTCATTAATCATAATTAAATTCTTCTCCTCACGTGGATTCTGTGGTTTTGTGAGGTATTATTCATAATTAAATTCTTCTTCCACTCCAGTGGGTTCTGGGGCTTCATTTTGGGGAGAACAAGAGTAGACCCACTGCCTCCCTACATGCATGTCATAAGAGTCGACTAATTAGGGGATTCCTAAGAAGTCGGAGTGCATGTGCCTGAAAGGCAAGGAACCACCAGTCTGTATAATAAGCTAGATCTGCAGAACTGATGTGTACTGGAACAAGATTAAAATCTGGTAATCGAACAACAACCAGAACTTTCTTCTGGAGTTTATACCTGAGGAACGCAAAGAAGAAATTTTTCTTCAGTTGTTTATTTTCTTGTTCATCGACCTTGAGTTCTGTTATATAGAGGAGTTAAAACTGTGAGGATGTATTAATAAGATTTGCATTTGCATTTTTATGTGTTCATTTATTTGCATTTGGCTTTTTTGTTTCCTAGCACATTTGTCTTTTTTCTCTTGCTGTCTGATTAACACCTAACTTTTGGTGTCTATTGCCTGTATTTCTGACTGTCTGCATATACACATATATCATTCTCTCGTTGTCTCTAAGCACTTTTCCCTGTGTCCCATCCTATCCATCTCTGACTCTTCCTCTGTCTCTCTCACTCTCTTCTTAGTAATTAGATCACTTCTTCATTCCCGCCCGACAGAGCTGCTACAACTGCAAGGGAGAGATTGACCGCGGAGACCTGGTGGTGACTGCAACCAAACTGAGCCCGGACGCCGTGTGGCACCCTGCCTGTTTCACCTGTCGCACCTGTGAGGAGCTGCTGGTTGACCTAGTCTACTGCCACCACTCCAAGAACCTCTACTGCCAGAGACACTACGCCGAGCTCATCCGCCCCCGCTGTCCGGGATGTGACGAGGTAGGTTCCAATCAAAGTTACAAGGTTCTTCTAAGCTTCACTGTTTGCCGCCCTTTCCTGGAACTGCTACATACAGTGTTGCCTATCTCTTGTATGTCTGTGTTTGTGTACCACCTGTTTTATTATTGATTTTTTTTTCTTATTTTTAGAGTTTACAGCTTTTAGTGTTCACCGGCTGTAAACTCTGGCAGAAAGTTCTGGTTGTGTTGTCCACTTCTGGACTTTATGCTTGTTCCAGAACTTGAATTTTGCGGAAACATCCTTTTACAGATCTGCTTTTTTATGTGCAAGACTGTTGGTTCCCCGCCTCACAGACACGTATTCTGCGACTTCAGAGGAAACATCTCCAATTAGTTTCCTTTTAAAACATTATTGATAGAGAGGCAGTGGGTCTGTTTTTTTTATTTCTGGGAAATGTTGCTTTGATAATTTATCAATTACAGGTGTAATTTATCAGTTCACTGTCTTTATGTCGCTGTTGACACATGAGACATTCACAAGTTAAACTCCAATTCTACCATTCTGCTGCTTTTATGCCAGTTGTATTCTATGTCAGTTTGTATGCTCCTTCAGGTCCCTTGCTTCTGTCATGTCTATAGGTTCCTTTAGATTGTCCATGTCCCCTTTAACCACATACCATCCACGTTTGGGCTGGTGAAATACCTTATGTAATAAAGTCTACGTGTGTATAGCCAACTTATGATTCCCGACTACTTTCATCAATGACAAACTGCATTTCTAGTGACGGCTGTTGGCTTTGGCACCTCTAGCAGCTGTCATATGCATTTACTACACTCACATATTTCTGGCTTGTTCCAGGATTAGTTGTTTGTTCACCGCTTTTTCAGTTGAGATAGTGAGGGACATTTCATTTTATTTTCACTGGCACAAGAACAGAGCAAGTAAGGAGAAACCCGACTGCAGAGATGTTGACTCGACTAGGACTAAGAGAGCTATCCTTTCTAAAGTGCCATAGGACATTCTGAATACATGACTAAACCCTCTGCATTTTCTTTATTTGATAACGTTTGGCCAAAGCATTCGCAGATTGATCACATTTACTAGTTTCTTTTGGGATACCATAATGAAACAAAACCTTCCATATTCATTCCCTGTGCAGGCTGTAAAAAGCCTTTTTAAAATCCTCAAACTATGTCAACTACACTTTTAAAAATAATGTTTCCCCTTGTTTTACACTCCAGGTAATGACAATGGCATTCAACCTCACCAGGGCATCCTCCAAACAATAAACACCCGGTGACACAAAGTACCACCATGTGGATGAAGATCACCTGGGGACAGGTCCCAGAAACCCCGTTCAACCCATAGGTTGGGTTATAGGCCCCCCCCCCCCCCAGTAACTGCCAGGGTGGGGCTTTAGAACTACCAAATTTTGCGTCCGATATTGGGATCCACCGTATTACAGCTGCACGCTCCAAATCTGGCTTTTTCCAATGTATCATTTATGCGCTTTTTTGTTCCCATGGTGACAGACTTCTCAATAATTGGCTTTTTCTGTCTTTATTCGTCTTTTTTCCTATTACTCTCTCCTGTTGTTACAGTGTAGTCTAGTTATTCTGTTTCTCCATAATTTTGTAAAGAGCAAGGTATGGGGACATCTTTTCTATTTATTGTTGACCTGATAGTTTCCAAAATGTAGACATGAAAAACTTGTTAATGTAGCGGAAATTCCATAGCAGGTAAATCAGTAGTTTAAGGGAAGTAACTCTGTAAAATGCAGCCGTAAATTTATATCGTGTTTCTTTCCCTTTACGGTGATCACATTTCTGATCTGTTTTTACAGATTTGATTTGATTCAAGAACCGACATCACAGCACTCGGGGCATTCCCATAAGCGCTCCGTCCACATCTTCAGCAGCCAGCGAAGAGTTCCGATACTAATGGTGCCTGTAGCTTTCTGATTAAACGTCCGTCTTGCTTTTCCTCTGAGCCTCAAGCTTCTGCCAGAGCCTCTCGTCACCCCCAACTGCATCAATCTCACCAGACTGTGGTAATCCATCTGGTGATCCGAATTGTACACGCTCTCCCACAAGGCACTAACCACGTCTGCCCTATCATGTATCAGTATTCCACCAAGTTGTGCAGAGCCAGCCAGTCTGTCCGCCTGTTCATTTCCCAACACACCGGCGGCCCTGGTGAAAAAATCCAGACAATACTCCTAACTCGTGTCCTCTGCAGCGAAGCATGCCACTCTGCACGAAGCATACCTGTTCTGATCTTCCTCAGCATGCTTTCTGAATCAGTTACAATCACGATGTGTGTGTGTCGTGTTCTCTAGCCAGTGGAAAGCTGCAGTGACCGCCTCCACCTCCATTCTTAAGCTGGATGTTGTGGTATCATATGCTAGGCTCTCCTGCATTAAACGTCGACCATTAACTTTTGCTAAGAAGCCCCAAGCACTTCTTTTGCCTCTTGACACTGAACCGTCTGTGTAAATGATCAAATCCTCTGAGCGAGCATTATCTTGAATTAATTGCTTAATTTCCACCTCTGTGGCACCTGCTGACCAGTCTCTGCATTCCCGGCTCAGCGTGATTATGACTCTACACGAGTCTGACTGCTCAGGTGGCACTTTGACCCATTCCTCTCCTCGCCTAATGTTCTCAAGGATGCAAACCTGTCTGATTGTGTCTTCTTCCTGAGCCATCCATGACCTCCCTCTTATCAGCCGCTGACCCTTAACTGCACCCAGAGCTCCATGCAAAGGGTGGTCTGTGTCTGCAGCTACCTGAGATATGACTTCGCCTGCAGCACCTTGTGCCTACCTGCAACCGTCGGCAAACCAAGGATGTATCGCATACACACCACTAGGGTGTCTCTGGTGCAACCCAGAATGTTTTTACAGATAGTCAGAATATTCCCAAACTGTATTTATGAAATCTTTATTCTTCTTATTCAGTCTTTTTTATTTTATTTTATTGAAACTGAAAATTGTAAAGCTTGTTTGCCCGTCCACATTGGACTACAGATTACTTTGAGACTGCCAGATGCCCTAATATATATATATATATAACTGATATTTATCTCGTCCTCTTGTGGGATGCAGTTTTCAGCTATTTTGAAGCCCCATCCTGGCTTTTGCCGAGGGTCCTAAACAAAGCCGGGCCTGAAAATGGACTTACGACTGAACGAGGTTTCCGGGACCTCTCCACAGGTGAACCTCATCTGCATGGTGGCACTTTGTGTCACTAGGTGTTTATCGCTTGTATGATGTCGTGGTGGTGTACAGCTTACATACGTAGGACCTGGAATTCTAGGATTTGCATCTTTGTATTCTCATCCTAATAGTGCCTCTTTGAGCACGTCACTGGATGTTAATCTTTAATTAGAAAGGGGTGAGGGAGATATATTTACAGGTTCTGTTGATGTTTCTGTCTCAGGCAAACAATGTCTACGTCCTCTGTTTCTTATTATTCGCCCCAGTTAATGTTTCTATCTCAAGCAAACAATGTGTCCGTCCTCTGTTTTTTATTATTCGCTCCAGTTGATGTTTCTATCTCAAGCAAACAATGTGTCCGTCCTCTGTATCTTATTATTCGCTCCAGTTGATGTTTCTATCTCAAGCAAACAATGTGTCCGTCCTCTGTTTCTTATCATTCACTCCAGTTCATGTTTCTGTCTCAAGCAAAGAATGTGTCCGTCCTCTGTTTCTTATTATTCGCTCCAGTTGATGTTTCTATCTCAAGCAAACAATGTGTCCGTCCTCTGTTTCTTATCATTCGCTCCAGTTGATGTTTCTGTCTCAAGCAAAGAATGTGTCCGTCCTCTGTTTCTTATTATTCGCTCCAGTTGATGTTTCTATCTAAAAACCCGGTGCAGTAAAGTCGATCCTCTAACCTATATCTTTACCTTGACTTGTGTGTTTACAGTATTTTAGCAGCAGGTTGCATTATAATTGAGTCAAATCTGTATGTCCGCACTAGTTATATTTATCCTGAAACACCCTGTATTGATTTCAATCACAACATGGACGTTTTATACCATATGGCTTACATTGTGCAGAGATGTTTGTATTGACAACCAGTTCGCAGTTGTACACGATTATTGGAGACAAGGGCGATTTATTTTGTTTCAGAAGAGTAAGAGCGGTTATTGAAGAGGTAGAGTGGGGTCTTCGTTTTCTTGGTGTTCACCGGCAGTTAATTCCGGCCAAAATGTATAAAGTGACGGTATATCTCCTGTTTGCAAACCACTGCGTCACTACATCTATTCGCCATGACGGTATATCTCCTGTTTGCAAACCACTGCGTCACTACATCTATACGCCATGTATAAAGTGACGGTATATCCCCCGGTTGTGACCACTGCAGTAAAATATTATCAGTTTTTCTCTGTCACGTTAATTTATGCGTAGCTTCTTTGTGGGCGCATATCTGTTTTAATGTCAGCCCCTTGTCTCTCTTCATATCTCCCCAGTTGATATGGTTTTCATGTATATCTCTGTTTGCCTGTAGAATAACATTTCACTGATAATTGTACATTTCTTGGTCTTTCTCTCTCTCTCTCTCTCTCTCTCTCTCTCTCTCTCTCTCTCTCTCTCTCTCTCTCTCTTTCTCTCTCTATCTCTCTCTCTGTCTCTCTCTCTTTCTCTCTCTCTCTATCTCTATCTCTCTCTCTCTCTCTCTCCCTCTCCCTCTCTTTACTTGCCTTCTTGGGTCATGACCTCCTCTCCTCCTCCTCCCCCCCCCCCCCCCCCCCCCCCCGCAGCAACAACAAAAATTAGAAGCAGGCAGTCTGAATTTATAAGAGAGTTAAGTGTCGCCCCCTTCCCTTTTTTCCCTTTACTCCCTGCCCAACATTTAATAAGTCTGTGACACTTGATAACTGATGGTCTCCATTTATAAACCCGTGACAGTTGCTAACGCTCAAGTCTCCATTTATAAACCCGTGACAGTTGCTAACGCTCAAGTCTCGATTTATAAACCCGTGACAGTTGCTAACGCTCAAGTCTCGATTTATAAACCCGTGACAGTTGCTAA